AACCGAATCGAACTCGAACCAGTACAAACTGGTTCGTTTCGATCTCTACACCCCACACCCACACCATCATCTCTTCCTCCTGAATATCTCTGACTGACGTCTCTTTCAAGTTTTCCTCTCATACCTAATCTATCTCTAATCCAATCTAATGATTTTCACCATGCCGATTCTCTTTTTCTGCATTTATCTTCTCGCATTCTCTCGATCCTTGTCCCTCTCATCTTACCTATAGACTTGGTCTAGTTCTTCAATTTCTATTCTTCTTTCCCTTTATCAAACAGTTGTCAATTTCTGTCTCTCGCCGTTCTCTTATTTCCATTCATCGGTGTTAGTACTCAACAACACCAATCAACAAGATTTGGCTGCCGATCTTTCGTATCCATCTATGTATCAATTTATCTGCTTATATCCTGGACTCATTCGTTGTTCATGATCTTCTTCTCTCTGCCTGTAAGTCATAATTCCGAACTCTCAAAACCCACAGCAGTTTATTTTCAGCGTCATTTCTTTTTCATATATGCCTCCTTTGGTACTGTCGCTGAAATTAACATATATGAATTTTTTGCTTGCTACTGAAACCCTATATGGAGAAAAAAATAGGGTGTAAGTTTGGGTGTACGTCTGAATTCTTAATCTATACTCATATCCAGACTTACACACTCGCCCTCAATTGAAAATAATTCGAATTCACTGAAGATATTTTATCGTTCGGAAGATATTTTTCTTTTGAGTTTGTTTTTATGCATTCATGAGTAATAGCTCAAAAAATATCTCAATAACGTTGTTGCTTTGTTCTTCTTTCACCATATTTTTGCATATTATAAGTTGTTTAATCATTAGTAATTCGTTTTTTCTTCTTCGCATCTGTAGGAGAGAGCAAATATTTTCTCCAATTTCCTTGGAAATTTTCAACATAGATAGAAGGAATAGAATGACGTGGGCAGTCTAATCTCGTTTGTACGAACCAAAACAAAAGCAACACTTCGGCATAAAACTAGCAGAGCTCGAAAAAAAGAAAACAGGTAATTCTTCAATATTATATCATGCGGCCGTATAGACGGCGGAACGATTTCAATCTAAAGTAGAGTCAATTTTTCATGCGAATCAAACCTTCCTATTGGAAAAGAATAGGGTTGACAATAAACTGGAACTGACTAAAAACACTTTGAGTATCAACTATAATCATACGATTTTAATCAGTTTGTTTTCAATTCTAATTTTTCTTTCCATGAATGGAAGCCAGTTGAGAAGTGATTTTTTTTCGGTTTTCTTGCTAGATTTTAATCCTGTATAAGTAGGATGCCTATCGAACACATTATTGTTTTCAGGCGCAACAGCAACTAAAGAGGTAAATTAAAAATGGGAAAACTGATTACAAAAAAATAAAATAAAAAAGACAGTCTAAGAAGAAATAAAGCCATTTAGCACTGAAAAATATTTTTCTCTACTTGATTCTTTGAAAGAAAATCAGACTAGATACTTGAGAAAACTGATATCAAAGTTGTTGTTGATTGAAATTCCAACAGATGGGTGTGGATCCAGTTCTTCTGTTAATCCACACTCTAGTCGTGGCTTCTCAAGTCATCATATGAGGGATGCTCTCGCATATAGAAAAAAAAACAAGTAGCGATGTTCTGTCATTCTATTGCGGATCAAGAATGTTTATGATGAAGATAAGAACAACAAAAAAAAATTAAATATAATGACAGAACAAAATGCTGACTGCTATCGAGGCAAGCCATACAAACAAAATTTACCACAATTGAATTATTTGAATATTTGAATGAGAACTGTTTCAAAGACATTCCTATGTATCAACAGATAGAGCGAATAGTTGCATCATTTCGATATCGGCTGTCGATTAACTACAAAAAAAAAAAGATTAAGCAGGTCGTGTTGAATCTCAGAGCAGGCATATTAGTGCGGATCTATGATAAGTTCGAGGGACAGGGATCTCTGCATCAAAAGAACACTGCAATTCTTACTCACATCCACAGATCAGTCACCTTCAAAAATCAAAACAAAATTGTAGCTCAGAATCTTATTCGATAGTTGAATGAAGATTTCTTATTCTCGTTGTACTAAATTAAAAACAAGCAAAACTAACTGAAGAAGAATATCTACAGCTGAAATTAGACCTTCGGTTCAGCGTGAGTTTAGAGATGGGGTGGAGGTGTAGTGACAATGAGCGCTAAGTATTTGTGAGAATGATGGTGACGGTATTCTTTTCATCCAAGTCAGTTACAGTGACGTTCTTTCAGCACCAACACCTTTATCCCATGTGGAAACCCTCGAATCATCAATTGCAATATTCTGGATGAGGACCCAGCTTATTTGATCAAACATTCTGTTTCTGTTGCCTCGTGTAATCATCAAGCTATTGTCTGTAATCTCTTAAAATCCTATCAATTAATAAGAATATTGATGTCTCATGTTTTGTGTTCTGTTTCGTTTCATTTGTTCTTGCTATTCTTTAGCAATAAATTTGAAAGTTCCAATGTCCTCCTAAGATCGACCATGGTTTTTTGGCTGAAAATAACTATGCATTCTACAGAAATTTTTATTCTACATCAATTATTTTATGATAAAGAATTACAATTCTGCTCTGAATTAAAGTTATTTTTATTTGATTCAAAAAAAAAGAAAATTAGCCACGTCGACATATCATCTTTCGGCCAAATGTATTCAGAAAACTGAGAACAGCTTTACGGAATACACTTCCTCCACTTAATGTATATATGTAGAAGGGCATTCCGGAAGATATATTATAAGCAAGAATAAGTATGTTAAAGATGAAATTTTCAATAGCTTTTCTCAATGGTGACTTGGCTACGGATTGAGTTATGGTTGAATAGAGTTTATGCATCGAAAGTGGAAAACTAAGTAGAAAGATAAGAAAAACTTGAACCAACAACATGATTAAAAGATGACGATCTGTTTTTTTCTGTTTATTCATTGCATCTCTATGATTGCTCGTCACTGTATTGTGATCAGTATGACCATCCATTGGTTTAGTTGCCGGTTGCAAACGAGAACGTGATTTACCTATATTTGAGATGGTCATCAAACCAAAGGTAACCATCAACAGTAACGGTAACAGGATTGTAACCAGGGCAAACAATAGGTCTGATACAATGCTACACGGCACTGATCTCGTATAACATTTGAGTGGAGTGTTAGTAAGATTGGCTTCATAGCAATAGAGATGTTGTGCTTCAATAAGAGTTGAAACAATGACAATCAGAATCGTACCAAATTGAGCATTCTTTAATGTGCTTCTTTGTCGTTGACCAGCATTGGTATTTGACGAAAGCCATCGATCAACCGTTGCCAACATGATAAGCCAAGAACCAATAGTGATTGCATCAAATAGGACAAAGGCACGAAGTTTGCAAAGATATGAATTTGTATTTGTTAGATCAGCAGACCAAGTTGATAATATTCGATAAATGAGACCAGCAAGAATACCAATACCATTTGCAATTGATGAAGTAAGAAAGAGCCATGCACAAGGATTTAAACGAAGAGGTCGTTGTGATAAAACACATATATTGATAGTATTGCCCGCAATACCAAAAATAATAATGAAAATTCCGAAGTATCGGGTTAGTTGAGTTGAAATATTGTTCAACAAGGCAATTAGACTTTCATTCGATGTCGATGACATTTTCTTAGTGAATGAAGAAACTATACGAAGAAAATAGAAAAATGCTAAATGATAGATGTGACAAAATCATTTTTATCTATTAGATATATTTCCACATGACAACACATTCTCACAAGCTAGCACATGAAGAATCCGTGCTTTTTTTTTTTGTTCACATATCCTGACATATTACTTAACTTAATCTACTTAGGAATGATGGAATTCATTAAAATAAAGTTATGTCAATAGGTCAAAGTCTAAACTAAATCAATGATATCGAACAGATACGGGAACAGTGAGTATGAGAAGAGTGAAGTCTCATTCTCGTTTTCATATAAACAAATGTAAGGTAATAAAATTGAATGTAATATAATCATCAAGAAAAAAAACTGTGTGCATTTGTTATGCACAACAAGTGGTCATTGTTTAAGCTAAAATAAACATTAATTCAGTTGTTTTTATATAATCAAGATGAGTATTCATTTCAGATACAATACTTTAATCAGCAAAGATACACTCGGATGTCAGCTTATTGCTGTGCTTGATTTTACTTTCATCATCATTCATTATTCTGAAGAAATAAAAGTGTTATTAAAACAAGCATGCTGTGTTGAATAGAGGATGAAAGAGAACGAGATGCATTCATTAATAATCATTTCATCATAAAATTAACATACTTGATAATGATTGGTCGTTTGAACTTTTCAAAAAGTACGTGCTAGTAAATCTTAAAAAATTGATTGCATGATCGATTGATAGAGTGAATCATCGTGATCATTTGACTTCGGATCAGAGTAATCTTTACATCAATTGTAACCGAATTAAAGAGGAAATTTGAACATATCAATGTTTCATTTGCCAGAAACACGTTTAGGATGGACTTTTTTGGGGGGCTCCCTTTTCGTCCTCGTTTTTTTTTACGGACATCGGTCATAGGTGATCGTTCCGAAACCCAGTTGCTTTGAAATATACCGGATGTTCGGAATGAAAAATCCGGAAGATCGGAATAGAAAACACCGGATGTTCGGAGTAAAAGTCGTCCAGATGTTCGGAACGAAAAATACAGGATGTTCGTAACATAAAATGACGTATGTTCGTAACAAAAAATGACAGATGTTCGGAATAAAAAGTGACGGATGTTCGGAATGAAAAATACGGATGTACGTAATAGCGGGTGGCGGATGTTCGTAACAAAATACTTCGGATGTTCGGAACAGAAAAAAACCAGTGTTCGTTATAATACAGCTTTTTTTTTTTAATTTTCTAATATAACCTTTTACAAAAAAAAATCATAAGATAACAAATAATTATTCAAGTTTTAATATGGCACACATATTAATAATAACAAATCTAATCTATCACTTTCCTTGCACATAATGAAAAGAGAGAGAATAATTATCTTATAGTAGAGAAAAAAAAATCATTATGTCTAATGTTTTTTTACTGCATGGCTCGATTTTTTCTTTTTTGGTGTTTGTTTCATATTGTTATCATCTATTTCTTTGTTCAAGAACAATGGCAACTTATGACCATTATGTGAATCAGCAAACCAATTCATTGTGTTACACGAATAATCGTCTCAGCCAATCATATTCGAGATGCTAGCCTCCACGAAAAGCGGATCTTTATTTTTACTACTCATTTACACTATCTATCTGTAAGATCTATCGCTCACTACTAAACTCTACACTACTTTAAAAAACTCTAACTGAATGTACAAGAGGTCGCTACACTCAAGGACTTAAAAGATACTATATGAATGAATCCTTTTCTATGTTAAAAAACAGACACCAAAATTCATTCCGTACATCCGTCACTTTTTGCTCCGAACAGCCGTCATTTTATGTTCCGAACATACTGTATTTTTCGTTCCAAACATCGCGTAGTTTTTGTTCCGAACATCGCGTATTTTTCGTTCCGAACATCGCGTATTTTTCGTTCCGAACACCTGCACGGTTTTCATTCCGAACATCCAGAAACACGATATTTTTCTCTAAAGTCGATTCCGAACATCCGGACAAATAACCGGATGTTCGGAAGAGCGAGGACGAACAGGGACGCACCCACTTTTTTAGACAGCAATATGTTTTTGATGTCTTGTATTTCAATGAGGATTTGTTGATAGAGTTATCCATCGCAACATAAATTAGAAGAAATGAATCATGGTTTCTTTTGTGACACAACTTTTATCAACAACCCGCTAACTGTTTGGTTTTATTATTTTTTTCTCTCAAATATCAAAAAAACATTGCAGTGAATTCATATTAAAGAATCATTCAATTATCGGACTGGTAAGATTAAAACAGACATCATCACTGCTCTATTAGAATAATGCTTTGTTAACTCATTGATTGTTTGTTTTTTGTTTAATTTAATCACTAATCATTTTGTTTTTTTTTGCTTATGTTGATGTTTAGTCCTCTATTAAAACCAGCTGTTATTCCATCTTCACCATTAATACCAATAATACGATCAAAATATCTTCAACAATTTCATTCATAAGTTGATGTAATAAAAACCAATGGATTTATGAATGGTACACAAGCAAAAAATATTCTTCAACAAACTAAATTATCACAAATATTACTTCATCAAATATGGTAAATATTTTGTTTTATGGAATATTGTCTAGTTTCTTTGTGCATCTGATTGTAAATATAGTGGAGTGCAAAAAAAAAAAAAGAATTGTTGTAATAGTCTTAAAACTATCTACATAGGATAAGTGAAAGTTGAGCATGAAATTGATTTATACATACATGTTTATTGAATAAGAGATATCTGTATATTTATATTGAACGACAAAATTATCGAGATGTTATTGAATAAATAGAAGTTCATATTTTAATAATTTATCTGAGAAATATTTTATATAAAATCAATATTTTCTTTCAGTTATTGATCAATTTTTTTACATATAAGCAACAATCGAGATTGACTTGATGGTTGTCCGTCATGCTTAATTAACATAATGTTGCTGAGATCTACTAAAGAAACGGTGAGGCTAGCAACATCATTCTGAGTACCGACAGTTTAATCGAAAACTTCTTCTCGAAATCTCTATTCTGTGTCTTTGTGATACACTAGTTGAAAAGCTAGACAGGGAAAGACTGGAACTATTGTTCAAATGTCAAGATCTAACTAGAATATCACCAACTATTGAACGTTGTACGATTTCATATTATGGTTACGAATAGATTCTTTTGAAACTAAAAAAATTCGCAAGGTCTACTAGTAAACGATGATAATCATTTTATTGAATTTTTTATTTACTGCAAAGTATTTTCGAAAAAATTAATATTAATACTTTTGACCTGAAATGTTGTCTATAGATAAATCAAATAGTCATTGTAATTCTTTGAAAATTTCAACGAAAATGAACATGTCTTTCTACGTCTCACAGCTGTTTTTTTCAAAATTAAATATCTCGAGAAAGACATATTCTTTTTCGTTGAAACTTTCAAGACATTTTAATAATTATTAGATCTGTCTATAGAAAAGAATTTAGATTCAAAATATTTATTTCATTCTCTCGGAAATATCTTGCACCATATGAAAACTTTCCCATTGTCATAATATGAAGTCACACTACCTAAAACTGCTAATTATATTAGTCTATTACATTTCACTGTATTTAAACCATCAAATCGATCCTTTTCAAAGCTTATAAATAGTAGCATGACTTGATTTACATTCAATTGTAATGAATATTTCTTTTTTTTTTTTTTGTTAAAGAATTTAGCTGATCATGATAAAGATGATCGTTTAACTCCGGATGTATTTGTTGTTGCAATGCATTATTGGGATATTGGTCGTGCTAGTTGAACCTCACCATCTCGTTTACTAGAAGAATGATCACAGGCAAATATAATGTAACGTGAATGTACAGGTTCATTATCAAAATCAAATATGAATCAAGCATTTGCTCATATTAATCAAGAACTTAAAGATACATTTACATTACAAAATACAACAGACAATCATTCTAGTGGAACAACAGAGCTTGAACGAAAAAATAGTTTAGTAGTAACTTATGAAGAAAAACGTCAAAAAAAATTATGAAGTTTGTATTTCAACAAATAATTTTCTAAACTTTTTTTTTTGAATTTATTTTTTTTTTTATAGGATGGATATAAAGAATTAGAACAACGTTGACAATTATTACGTGAACAAGAAAAATGTGAACAAAGAGAACGTAAAGAACGAAGTAATTAATAGAATTAAATAATTGAAGAAAATTTTGAATTTTTCTTTTATAGAACGTAAAAAAACCAATGAAATTTGAAAGACAATTAAAAAGACAACGAAAAATTGAAGAACATAAAGAAGAAGAACGAAAAAAATTATATGAACAACGAGAAGTAAATTTAAAAGAATCATTATTTATATCTATCTATTCTTTTCTTTTTAGACAGCAAGAAAAGAAATGAAACAAAAAAGTTGTCTTGAATGGGAACGACAATGTATGCAGGAATCAATAACATAAAAATTTCGTTTACTTGAATAAATAAATAATTTAAAATCTCGTGAAAAAGCTTTTGAACTTTGAGATAGTTGTGCAATAATTTTATGAATATGCCTTGGAATATCTTTCAAACGCAGTTACACTTGCTCAAGATTATGCCTCATCGACTAAATTCAAAAAAAAACATCATGATGATGTGAATAATCTTTTCTTTTTATATAAAGATTTCTCATGTCAAAATCCGGATGATTAGAATATAGGTGTTGTCGTGGGTGGCAGTAGGTTATTGATACTGAAAAAATCTCAATAGAATCAATCCTCCACATACATCTATATCGTAACATCTACGCTGAATTGATTCGAGACAATAAAAGTGAAAAGTATACTCCATTTAAAAAAAACTGAATCAATAAAACATGAGAAAAATTGAAATCAATATGACTAAATAGAATAGTTTTGATTTGTCCAAGTGTTTTATTATTATTACATAAATTACGAGCACATATAGTAAATGAAGGTAATGTGTTATCTACCACATCGGAGGAAGCTGGAGCATGATAAAAATTGGAATAATTTTATCATCTTCTTATATGCATTGCGTATCCATAGGTTATTTCACAAACTTCATAACTTGAATATGTAACAATTTTTTTTTCATTGAATCAATTGATGAAGAGTTCTCAATGAATAGTGCGATTTGTTTATACATTATTTTGAAGGTATATTTTGTTGAATATCAATAATCAACTGCTATATAGCCAAGAGTTAATTGTGGACTTATATAAAAGATTTTTTCTTGAAATGTTTTCAGTATCAAAGTCTAATATTGATATTCTTTTTCAGGAGTTCTATATGATTCATCAAATGAAATGTCGTCGACATAGCCATAAAATCTGCGTTGAAGGCTATTGACGATAATAACATAAGACACTGCTATTAAAAGTCATAACAGCATCTTAATTTGTTCTTTGACTATGAAAAAACATCTTCATACAGATTTACCAGCCTTATGTCAAGAAAAGGGAACGATACAGACAAAGTACAGTTCTAGTTTCTTAGTTGATTTAACTATTCGTCGATGATCTGCTGTACAATAAAATCTTTTAATCATCGCATTTGATTTTAAAATAATTATCCATCTTTGATCCTGCTTGAAACTTGTTTTTAACCTGTTCATAAACATTCATACTTATTTTTATCGAAAGAAGGAGACATTATAAACTTTCTAATCTTATTTCATACAGTGAGGACCAAAAAAAGCATGGTCGTTTTTCCGGTATTTTTTGCGCTATCGTATTTCATGAAGGAATCACATAACAGGGTGGATTTTTTTTATCACAGTGTGTGCTTAATGAGATCTCACTATGATAAAAAAAAAATCCACCCTGTAATGTGATCCCTTCATGAAATATGGATGCGCAAAAAATATAAAAAACAAAATGACAATTTTATCTGACCCCACTAGTGTTGATTAACTCATGAATGACTCCTCTGTTTGGGCTCATCTTTTTTACAAGTAACAACTCAACCTGAGATGTATTTATAGTAAAAATTTCAAGCCAAACGGATGTATCCTCGTTGAGATATGGATGTCACTTAAAAAATGCGCTTTTTTCACGATAGGGCTCTCAGAAAGATTTAAATATCTCCAGAACGGTACGACATTTTGTCAAACGACTTGCATAGAAGTTCATCAAACACTTGCTGCTATAGCATATACAAAAACTAGTCAAGTCGGCAATCATTGATTGAGGAGATTTGGTCATGACTTACGCGGAACGGTTCATATGTAAAAAAAACGACCATACTTTTTTTTTATCTGAAATTAATTCTTATGACCAATACGTTTTTTTTTATCTCGTCGATTGATTAAGCCTCAAAATATGATCTCATCGATACTTTTCAATAATTTCAACGTATCGAGTCAAATCGATCTATTTCTTTTACATGTTCGTCATGAACGATATTTTACTTGACTGTCATCTCTAACTCGTAATAATTTTGATGAAAATCAATTGAGTTTTTTATTCAAATGAATGAATCTTACTGTACTTTATTGTCAATAAAGATCGAGAAATATAATAGTATTGATGTGTCATGACAACACAGAAGTTTCTTTTCTCGATTGAACCTGTCTGTAAGTATTTGGTATGTGACTAGAATCGTTTTGGCAGTCAATTCGATGATTTTCTGTTGAGAATGTACGTATGAGTGAAGGAGAAACAACCACATCCTAGTTATTTTACTTTTATTGTTCAGAATGAATGAAACATTTATTGAGGACATTTTATTACAAATACTATATAACAATGATATGTAAAATTTTCCTTGTAGAGTAACATTTTTCAAATATGATAATAAAATGACATATATTTCTGTCGTAAAAAGATAATCAAAGTAGATTACTTAAATGTTCGTGTTATCGAATATGACAATTTCATTGGATAAAATTCTAGTAAAATTTAAAAAAGAATTTGCAAAATGAAGCAAGTCAGTATCAAAAATCTTTTCTGTTACATCAGAATTTAATTTGCTGTCTAGATGACTATAGAAGTATTTACATCTTCATTTCGTATGATAATCATCTGCGAAAATAAACTCATTAAATATTAAACAACAATATTAATCTTTCATATATTGTTAATTATGAAGATAGAAAATTAGTTGATTTAATATTAATGTATTGAAATGTTACCTTCATTTTTTTAAAGATACTGAATAAGATAATAAAAAACATATTGACGTAGAAAAAATTTTAATGAAATTAATCCATTTCTATCGGATAACAAAAAAGTATTTACTTTATTCAATGCGTATATAAGAGAAAATATGTCAGAATTTGCGAATAAACTTCAAAATTTATCGAATATTATCAGTAAACCTTATTTAATTATAATATTTTTCATTGGTTTAATGGGTAATATATTTAATATAATTATATTTAGTCGTCATTCACTTCGATCAAATTCCTGTTCATTATATTTTCTAAGTATTTCATTTTTTCATGTAATTATATTAATAATTGGTTGTCTTTTTCGATTCATTAATTTATTTCTTGGATATGATTTATCAGGTACATCATTAATTTTTTGTAAATTTCGTGCTTATATTGTAGTTGTTGGTTATGTTATATCACGTCATTTATTATGTTTAATTTCAATTGATCGATGGATGATAACATCAACAAATATATTTATTCGTCAACAATGTAATCGAAAAAAAACAAAATTAATTATTATTATAAGTATTATTTTTTGGTTTTTAATTGAAATATTTATTCCAATTGGATTTTATATTGAAAATAACAATTGTATACCATCATTAAATCCATTTTATTTATTTATGTATCGAATTATTGATTTATTATGTACTTTATTTCCTTTTTTTATTCTAATTATATTTACTTGTCTTTTATTAAAAAATTTATTAAGAAATAAAATATTTCCAAATACTAATCATCCTATTGTTATTAATTCTTCATTGAGAATGAATGATAATCAATCTTTTCTACGAATAGTTAATACTCATTCAAGAAAATATACAAATAAAGATTATCATTTAATTCGATTATGTTTTTTTCAAGTTATTGTTTTTATTTTATTAAATTTACCAGCAGCATCATATAGTTTATATTCATATATAACACGAATGAATATTAAAACTATTAATCATTTAGCTATTGATTCATTTCTTAATACAATTGTATCAAATCTTGCTTATACTCATTGTGCAGTAAGTTATTTATTAAATAAAATAGAATATTTTATTCTTACTCCTTTAGGTAACATTTTATTTATATACAATGACATCGAAAAAATTTCGAAAAGAATGTTATTTAATTTATTTTTATATTCAACGACGATTGATTAATCGATTTCAATAAAAACAAAAAAAAAGTATTTTCATTTTTAAATGTTTTGTTTTTTAATGTTGTATTTTTCGATCATTAAATAAAAATTTTATTCATTCTGATATTCATTTTAAAAAAATTAAAAATAAATACATTTAATTCACTCAATCAACATATCTACTCACATCCTTCAGAAGAAAAATGATTCCATTTTAATTTGATATGATTTTACACCAACTTTGTTCAATCATAAATTCATATCAACTATTAATTGGGTGGATCGACAAGTATGAACATGTCTACTAATTAGATCCGAAATATTTATAAGATCATTGAATTGGATTCTTCTACAGTCGAATCAAACATAGATATACTGGAAACAATCGGAGATGAAAGAAAATCTTTGAGTAAATCTATTTCATCATCGTGGCCAGCAAATAAAATAACGATATCAACGTTTTGTTTCGTTTGAGATAGATCTTCGAGCATAGCAAAAAATGGTGTAAGACCAATACTACCAGCCATGAATAAAAGTTTTTCAGAAGCTTGATTAATATTATCAAACCATGTAAGGGTGTGGGTGTGGGGTATGAGTGTCCATCTTCTCCTAACTGACACCCACAACCACACCCTTCTCCATTCAAAATCTTTCGATTATTGTCAAGTCAAACAAAATGTTCTCTGCTCTGAATTTCGAATGATTAAAAGCAAGAAAAGCTATTTGCTCCCAACATTTTCCAACCTAATCGAATTTGATATCGATGTTCCAATGTCGAAATCGGTCATTTTTGTTTATTCATCGATGATCTGAAAACATTTTCCGGTGAACATCCGTTGATCAGTTGTCGAACAACGATTTTCTTCTCTTCGCTGATCAATGATTACTGAAGAATTTCTCCATGTTGACGAGAACCCTAAACTGACATTTCTTATTGTTAATCAATTCGAAGGTAAATCGAATGTTTTTTCTTTGATAGTTCGGGTGAATGATATCATTCTGTTGAGTTTCTCTCGTTCCAAGATCAATGATAAAAATGTCAATTTGAGAAATTCTCAGAAGATGAGTTTTGTTCTCATTGGAATCTGGTCGATTCAGTTGAAAATCGATTGGTCAGTTCTTCTAAAACAAACAAATCAGTCAGTGCGAGTGACAATATGATGAAAAACATCAGTTTATTTTCGATCATCATGTTCACTTTCGTCGTTTCCTTGATGTTGGGTACAGTGTGGTCAATGTAAATCTTATTTATCGTTTGTTTTTTTCTCAATGCAACGTTTCATCTCGTATTGAATTGTTAAGTGCAAAGTGATTGTCATTCGATTTGGTGAGATGGAACTTGTGTATCGATATTTATGCGTATTGTTTATTGAACATCATTGTAGCTCGTGACTCTTCTTTTAGAAAAATACGTCAAACTAGGGCTGTTTTCATTCAATATTTCTCGCCATATCATCGGAAATCAATTTCATTTTCTTTGATCATTTGATTGATTCTCTTAACGAAATATAATAATCAATTCGAGTATCGATTCATGCTCTCAATATAGTGGAATAATAATATATTCACCTAAACATCTCAATCATCAATGTAATGACGGACGATGTTGGACGGAAATTTTTCTCCAAACTATCGAACAAGAACAAGAGTGTCCGATTACATGAGCGAGATCTCGTCATTGTCTCAGACATGAACATAGTCAATTATGAGAATATGATCATGGCATGGATTGTCATTATTGAATATTCGACCGTATGACAATGTTGATCGGTATTGACGAAGAAACTATTGTTCATATCGTATTGAAGAACAACAAAAGTTAAACGTTAAAAATAGACTGTCGACCGTAGTTATCGGTCATTCTATAGGTCTATCGTCCATATAGACACAAGTATTATTGAGGTCAATATAGCATGATTTTTCCGGCTTTTGTTGTTTTATTTGAATTATGACCGCTATAAAAGAAGGATGATAAACTGTAGGATGGTCACATTTTTCTTCCTATCATAAACACATTAAGTCACGCATTCAATATTATCCAATATGGAATCATCACGAAATTGCGCGATTAACTATTGTAAACGATTTTCTCGTGCTCTTTGCCATTGTTGCCAACAAAATCTCTGTATCGTCCATCTGAATGAACACTCTGACTCACTTCTAAGTCAACTTACGATACTTGCTGATGAAATCAATACTCTTTCTGAACAATTCAACACCGTCACATTAGTTGAACCCGTTATTATCAATGAACTTGAACAGTGGCGTCAACAAGCTCATCAACTGATCGATCAGTTCTATGAAAGAAAAAAACAAGAATTCGACGAATTAATTAACGAATCAAGAACAATTCAGAAAAATGAACTCAATCTATTGCGAGATCAAATCAATGAACTGAGTCATGAACAAGATGTGACACATGAACATATCAATTCAATCAAAAAATCCTTGAAATCTCTCGAAAAACTAATCAACCTATCTGAAAGTCAACTATTTACTATTTTGCCTCTGGTCATCGATGATAATCTTGTTGGCACTCGCAATAAAATACTGCAAACAGGAAATGGTTTTCCACTACCGCCTGCAGATAAAATGTCGGAAGGAATAGACACACCCGTTGCTATAGCCGCCAACGACAATAATCTTTTGGTTATACAAAACGAAAATCTTCAATTACTCAATGAAGAATTGACCATTGAGAAAGAGATTATGTGGACTCAGGACGATCTTCATGATATTATTTGGTCGAATGATCTCGTTCAATTCATTCTCATCACTTCGACAACAATCTTCACTCTCAACCCAAAGACGATGACTCTCGAACCGCTTACACTTGATCAACACAAGCATATTAACACTTGGTCATGTGGAACGTGTTCAAATCATAAATTGTTCCTATCGACATTCAATAAAGGATCCTCTATCGTCGAATATGATCTTCAGCCACCGTTTCAATTTGTTCTAGAACACGTATCACCTCTTTCTTGCGCAGAAAATGAATCGATTGAAGATCTTGCATCAAATCATGCGGCATTGGCTCTCCTTATCAATAATAATGAGGATGATATGCACCTTGATCTATGCTCACTAATAACATTTGAACGATATTGGTCACTTAAGTTCGGTTTTATGTCTGGAGATTACACAATGTCATGCTGTTTGTTGACCAACGATGAATGGATGATAATTGATCCGAATGATTCTGAACTTCTACATATATCTAAAAATGGAGACTTCCTCAAAAAATACTATTACCATTCATCCATTTATGATGCCGTTCAATTCAACGACGATACAATTGCTATAGCAACAGAGGAACGTGTTAATCTGCATCGACTGTCTTGAAATTTTCTGTGAATTATCATATCTTCATTCATTCTAGTGTAAAATTTTCTTGCGAACATTGGCTTCATTTGGCTAATTGCACTGTTTCAAAGATAACTTTTGGTTTTCATAGGGCTATTCATGATAAGATTGATGAATCAACATATTTCGACGGTTTTTTGTATTTATATTCAGTGACTTTAATGTATTTCTTGTAAATATTGACAATATACTTGTGTATCTTGTGAATTGTATTCATGAATTATTGTTTGTATCCAATTCTCATAAAATAGAAATATTGAGAATAGAGCATTATAATGCAAGTGCGAGAATAGTTAACGTAACAGCGACTGTCGAAGTTAAGCAATACTTCGGGTGTGGGTGTGAGTGTGGGTCAATTAAGTGGCTATTGACCCACACTCACCCACACCCACACCGACACGCTACACCCCACCCACATCCACACACCCACATCGGCGTTCGTGTTGGTTTTTCTTTTTCCTTAATGCTTTATACGTTCTTATTCACCGCTTACAGCTTCTAAACTGTTTTTATGAGAGGATAAACTGAATAAATAAAAAGAATTAATATTTTTAGTTTACAGTACTATCCGAGGTATTGTGAGTACTTTATCGATGCATTTTCGTTTCACGGGAAGTTAAGTCGATGTCGACCATTATTGAGAGGAGAGAAAAATGCGTAAATCGAATTCTGTAGAGTTAGTCCAAGGTTAGATTAGATTTTACAGTGAATGACTTTCTCATTTATGTACTCGCTTTGTTTCGGCCTAGTTTTATTTATAGGTGAAGGTTGTGAACAATAAAATGGAGTTCTCGGTTTCACTTGCGACCCTGACCTGCGTAATTTCTCCGTGCAAAACATTTTATTGCTTTAGTTGGCTTGATCGATAGTTTTTTTTTCTGAAATAAAATTGTGTAACTTGATGTTTTGGTTCAAATTACTCTGGCTGAATTTGAAAACAGAAATGGAAGCAGGATCTCTGATAGCTGCAACTACGCCTAAAACATGAAATAGGTCTTCAGCCTCACCCCCACTCTCAAAGATATTTCAATACATAAGGTAACAACATCTCTTTAATATTTGTTTGAAATGTATTGACTGTTTTATTTTAAATTTTATCACATTATTTTACAGAATAGCAAGCTTAAAATAATATGAACGATTATGTTTTCTGATGAAACAGCTATAAATGCGATTGAAGGTTGTGGTTTTGGAGTTGTTGATATAAAAGATGTATTAATATTTAAAATTGAATCATTTAGTGGTAGAACATATCGATAATTGAACAGTTCATAAACTTGCATAACAGTTGATATATTGTTACATTCTAAACGATTACAGGTTAACGACATATTTGTTTTGATGGTATTGGGATAAGAATATGTTTGCGCTATAGTTATCATATTGACTTCTGTTAGTGTACTAAGACATGGTAAATTATTATCGATATTTAATAGTCTGTGTTCAGATGAGCGAATCTCTTCGAGTTTTGCTTGACAATAACTACTCATTGTACATGTACTACCAATACATTGAACTCCAGTTGGATTTGGTACATTTGTGTAGAGCAAGTTACTGAACGTTTCTTGAATAGAAAGAGCATCTAACTCAGCTAATTTAGAACCAAAAAGTTCATTAGCGAATGCCCATGCACAATCGTCCGACATAGAACAAGTATATCTAATTATGGTAGTTAAATTCATATGAAGACCAAATTTTGTTTCAATTTGAAGTTGATCAGGTGCTATTTGATCCTCGATCATTAGTACACCACCACCACCACCCCTACCAGATGATCTAAAATCAAGCGTCAGAGTGAGTGAGCATTGTGCATTGTCTCGATCGACATATTGTAGACATATTTTTTCAGGCATACTGAAATTGAACGATCCAAATATGAATGGACATTGCGTGCCACATCGGATAGAATCGATTGGATGACGAACATAACCGATAAAAAGAATTATAAATAGATAAGCGTAGTATGACATAGGTAGTGGCACGGCTAAATTATTTATCTTTTGTTTTATTTCTCTCCATATATATATATATATGTGAAAAATTATCAATTGTAAGAGATAAGCGTTATTACACCACAAACGAGCAATATTCCATACTATCTTTGTATGAGTCAGAATGAGACGTAGTGATCTCATCGCGAGATTGAATTTGACTGACAATAGTATTCGAAACTATGACAAAAATAGTGTGGGTGTAGGTGTGAGTAAAGCTCACTCGAACACTACACCTAATCATAATAATCACATGAAGAAAAAAACATGAAAATCAACAAGAAAAAAAGAAACAGAAAAGCAAAAAATAGTAACATGCATGTTTGCCATCTGCAAAGATTCAGTTCATAAATGAGGTCTGTAGAAAGCAATATCATCAAGAAATCAAACAATCAAAACTCTTTCATTTAAATTATACTTGTTAGCATACACGTCTAAATCAACCAACTAATCCGATGAAAAAACATTTAAATCGAATTGATTCGAAATCTCAAAATTCAAAAAATCTATTTTTCCTTCGTTATACGTTATGTTAGCAATTATTCACTGATGTTGACAATTATTCTATGTATTCTATCGTTTGTTATCGGTCTAATGCGTGTAACATTTTCTTGGATTTTTTGAAAAACATACGAAACGCAAATATGTTTATACAGAAGGAAGGTAAAGGTAAGTGGGTGGGTGAGGCTTAGATGGATGTGGGTGAGTAGGAGAGTAATGCTGGATGAGCGTTAGGTGCGGTGTGAGGGTGTGGGTGCAACTAACACGTTCATCCACAACCACACACACATTCTATGAACTTTCCTTGGAAATTCGCACTTCATTATCTAACTATTTTTCTTTGTCAATGACATCCACTGTAGAGAGACTCATACGACTTTTGGAAAAACAATGTGACTCATAGAAGTGATAAAGCGCATCCCAAACTAAATCATCGAATTTCACATTATTTTTGATTCTCAATCATAAAGAAAAATCAAAAGTTGATAGTGAGCTTTTATTGGAGGTTATAATTACAATAATTATTTTAGAGTGGTAAACGAAATTATATGTATATCATTAGGTTCATCTTAATTTCAACCGAATAAATACAAAAATTGAACTTTTAATTGCTTTAGAAAAGACATCAAAACTATACAATTTCACTTTCTGTGTAAATGATACATTTGTCGCATGCTACCAATGAAGCACTTCAAGTTTTAACAAACTTCATTTCATGTTCTATGAAAAAAAATTGGATCAAAAGAAAATTGATTTTTACTTATTACACACGTGTCTCTCCCCTTTGATTCAAATTGTATTTTCTGTCATTCAAATTAAAACAAACTGTTCTTTGTGATTACGAAACTGCAGTGTTGATTCGTAAACACATTTCTTTTATTTATTCTGCATTAAACCTAAGCATTATTCTCGGCGTGTATGGTTGTGCATGCTAGTGTGAACCTTCTCTCTAGTTACTACCATATTCACCCACACATTCACTAAAATCTTCTTCCATATATACCACGCCGTTCGTAGACGACTGATTTTTTCGTTATTAGTCAGACAATGCAGAGGAAATTCTTCGTGGTACTATAACGTTAAACAACATTTGATGTTGATTTTCGGATCTACAAAAAAAATATTATGATAGAAATTTTTTCTTAGTGTCATTTCATATCTACTCAGCTAAGAAGTTTATCATGAAAGCTTCAACTAGAAATTTTGTCTTTGGCAAAAATTACTTTCGCAGTGTAACATCTTATAAGTAAGATTGTAGTCAGCATACAAGTTACAGAAAACTGAAGTGACATTAAAAATTATCGACAATATACTGTGACTATCTTGTACTGAGACCTTGGTATTGTACTACTTGCCAAAGAATTATTTGGTCACTAAGTATTAAATTTGTTGCATTGTTCAAGAGAGCAAGATTATAACTTCAGAACTTTCATAAGAAGGAGCATATTGAACGTTTTTAAATTAGAAATTAGCTTGAAGTTTGGATTCTTGTTATTTATTGCATAAAACTGACTTCAGATTCATATTAAGTGTCAAATTTTATATTAAAATAAGATATTTCAGAAGGATATAAAGTCATACATAAATGAATACTAGTGGTTCTTTTTTGGTTGTGAGCAGTTCAATCAAGATCGTATGAATACGTAGTCAAGAGCTAAGTGCAAACCTAGGGTGTGGGTTAGGCATGTATCAAATTCTATTTTTAGGTGATAAAGATGATTCATTTACGATGTCAAGAACCGTCAGTTCCTGTCAAACCTTCAGGTGCTCTCTACTCAACTTTTATCGCTCTATCTGATAGCAGCCTTAGATATGTCGAATTCGACTAGAAAATATGCAGGATTTGACCAAAAAACGTGAATTTTCGGTCAAATCCTGTATATTTTCTACTCGGATTTGACATATCTGCGATTGCCATCAGATAGAGTGATAAGAATTGAGTAGAGAGCACCTGAAGGTTTGACAGGGACTGACAGTTCTTGCCATTGTAAATGAATAATCTTTATCACCTAAAAACAGGATTTAATGCAGGATGTGCGTGTGGATGTGAGTGAGTGAGGTGTGGGTACAGATGAAGAGATGCAATACACCTACATCCGCGGGTCTCTTCTCAAGATTCTTTCTCACCCACACACCCTCCTTACATCAAGTTATAGGCAAATCCGATACCGCATTAACTCGATACTGAATTATTTTAATTCTGAAGCATAGCGTTTTCCAGAATGTAACGAAACTTTTTGAAAGTGTAGTAAAGATACATATCCATGTTTTTGCAAAAGACAGAACGCTAGGAATGAGCATCCACATCCTCGTGAACAATCCTAACCACTTCACATCATACACAAATGAGCATCGGCCCTTTAGTCCCTTTGAAATGTATTTTGTTTTGCAAATATTTGTTTTTTGTTTGCCATCAGGTGGTTAACAGCAATAAAAAAAGCAGGTGGTTAACAGCAATAAAAAAAAACAAGGTAGGAAGAAGACATCAGATAAGTAAAGCTTATTTTATGTTGCACAAGTAATAAAAGAGTTCCTTCGATAAACAAATTATGTGTCTCACGATTTGGAAACCATCATTATTGAAATACTTCATTTTGACTACAATATCCTGGTGAGTAACTTACAACAATGATTTTTAAAAAGATTTTCAAGTTTTTTAAACGCTATAAGTATAGCAGACGTACAATTGAGATATTAATTATAAAATATTGAGACAAAAATGAAATCAATATCCATGACAAACTTTTGTTTAGCTAATCGACTGATCATTTTTTTCTCAGCGAGCAGTAAATCGACTTAACTTTCTTACATCCATCGCCCACAGATTAACTGATCTTTTTGTATTTTTTTCTACAAATCTGTCTGCGAAATGATGACCTTGTTATGTTTGCGCCCAATTCTGCTCATGATCTTTTAACGAGTGTCAATGTTGAGGCCGAAAGGCTAAAATAATGCCAGTGATAGTTTCATAAGAAAACGAATAAAAATGATACTTACACACTTCGAAAGTTTCCCTGTCCAGAAGAGTGAGTGGACTATTAACAGTGAGTTTGAAACGTTTACGTAACATAGAAATGCTTAGCAATGAAGTTGAAACTTTTCCAATGAAAAAAGAACCGATAACGATATAAACAACCAATATATTGTCATGTGTCGACGCAAACCAGTATGCGGAAATGAAATTCTGCTGATCACTACATATCAAAAAGCATAGGTACTGTCCAATCTAAATACAAAGCATGATGGTGATCATGAAATCTACTTAGCGGACACAATATCTATCTGTGCGAGTCGTTGTGTGTGCAAGTGTGACTTTGATCATTGTGTAGCTTACTAGGGACCATGACCAAATCCAAAGATCTACATTCAATAATACATCCAGAAACATCCAATCAAACCAACCTACATACTAAGTTCTAGTAGTTCAGGTTTGACTAAATATTTTTACGTTCCATTTCAACCCAATTTCGAGTAAGTCTGAACCTATTCTTACTGTACCCAAGTGTGACTTGGACCCCGCATCTACCGAATTTCCTACCACAACCCTGCATTCACATTCAATCATGCCGAACTAGTTACCTAGATCTGGCAATCTACATACTCGCTCGGACTCACATCCACTTCGAAACCATATCCACCAGATCCAGTCTACACGCACACCCAAACTCCACACCCTTGATTCTAATTTCGAATAAGTAAAATGTAGAAGTTTTTTAATAGGAAATTTTCGATCATTAAACAATCATTCTCAATCGAATACTACAAAAATTAAAACAGACGTTACAACAGATGACAAAACCAGAAAAAGGCTGTGAGAGCGGGTCACGAGAAGGCAAACTCTCACACCCACATCCACACCCTTATCATCACATGTAGTTCAATCCCTAGTGGAATCAATCTGTGGATTCAGAGTACCAATCAATAATTTTAAAATGTAATTAGCCTTTGAAAAGGGAGCATTCCGTCCACGATTACTGATAAATTTCAACTTCTCATTTTCAAATGTATCAATAACTGCAACGTTTCTCATTATTGTATCCCATTTCTTCAAATAACTGACAGAAGTAGATTCATCGGTACAAATAAGAAACATCACATGAGTAGTATTCCATGGACGCTCTAGACGCAGAACATGTTCGAATTCTAGCAAATTCGATTCACCATAATCATCGCTCGGTTCACCGTCTGTTGCGATAAATACCAATAACTTCTTATCATCGCTTCGGTTGGCTTCTCGCATTTTCAGAACTTTTCGTAGTGTGGGTGTCAAGGTAGTGTAACCACATGGAGGATCTTTGAATAGTTGCTCTAACTGTGCCAGCTCGGTGATTCTGTGAACACCCGGTCTATTAAGGAAGTGAATATCAATATCATTCGAATCGAATACAACACCAAATTCGACAATAAGACGCACGAATTCACGAAGTTCATCCCAACGAGTACGTGAAGTACCTATAATAGGAGTTTGCATTGAACCAGAATCATCACAAATAATAGCAATATCGAAATCTTTTAGTTTACAAAGTTTATCAATATCTGCGTCTAATATTTCATATTTTCGGGCTACCAATCGAAGCCGCTGGTCAACAGTTACATTCTTACCTACAATAGAACATCATACACTTGTTGTTACATCAAAACAGAATAAGTTTAGAATTACGATTGATTATCTTTCGATACAAGAAGAGAAACTGAAATTCCGATGATATTTAAGCTGTTGCCACTCTTCGTGCGATAGAAAAATAATCGAAGTAAAAGAAATTCTTAGAGCATACCAAAATTCTCTATATTTCTATGTCATTTGATTACTATTCAACTGATATCATAATAATAAAATTTTGATACGAACTGATTTTATTGCAAAGTAGCTAATACTAATTCGATCATGATGGGTGTAGCCTAAAAAAATGGAGCACTTTTGCATTTCATCTTTTCATCACTTAAGAGGTTGTATTAGAAAAACAAAATATAGCACAAGATGCAGGGTTAACAGCTCTGCATTTTATAAAGGACTTCTTATTTTATAGTTGCACTTTTTTTTCCACAATACACGAAATTCTAACCGATCGAATTTCAACGTTCCGAGAACGTGATTATTTTTTGCTAAAAGACGAATTCGTTTTTTTTCTATCGCATCTTTTCATGATTGTTCTTTGTATATTGTAGACTTTTTCACGCTGCATCGTGTAGTGTATTTCGTTTTTTTTCTAATCAAGCAGATCAGGTAATAGAAGGATGAGACAAGAGAAAACGAATTCATTTTTTACCAAAAAAAGAACCGCGTTTTCGCAACGTCGAAATTCGGTCGCTCAAAGTTTTGCTCATTTTGAAAAAAAAGTGCAACTATAAAATAAGAAGTTCTTTATAGATTGTAGTACTTTTCACTCTACATCTTGTACTATATTTTGTTCTTTTAGTACAATCTATTAAGTGATAATAAAACGATATGCAAAAATGTCCAACCTATTATGATCTAATGATACCGAAGAGTTTGCAACAAAATTAGTTCTTATCGAAATTTTATTATTATGATATCAGTTGAATAGTAATCAAATAGCATAGAAACATAGAGTGAAAGACATCGATTAATCGACAATGAAGCGGTAAAAGAAGTGCTGAAAAAAAACAGATAGTACCAAGTACATATATTTCAATACTGATAAGTTACGCCATGCGAGCTTTAATTGCTTTCGAATATCTGTCTACCTATTCTGAAAATAAATAATAAGAATACTTGAAAAAGAAGATGTGGGTGAGAAGGTCGAACGTTTTCTGAGCATTAAAAAGTTCTATAAAAAAAACGTTTTTTTTTTGTAAAGTACTGCAAAGAATATCTAATATGACTATCTAATACTCAAACGAGAAAAAGCAATTCGAAGAATATCTATAAAATAAGTCTTCGATTTGGATTACAATAATAGCTTTACTTCTACTCCTCATCCATGCCAATCATTTAGTATATCTTACCGATTATCTGTCTTATAAAACGGCGTATTCTTTTCACGAAATGTTGCACATTAGTTGACGAGATATCCAATGTAATGGACAGAGCAATGATAGTAAGAAATGCAAGAATTAACCATTTCATTGTTTGTATTGTGATTTTCCTTTGTTCAGATAGTTGTTGATTGCTACAGTTATGCGATGCAAACCATTTTGCTGATATACGATCAAGTTCTCCTGACTCAATTATTGATACTATATTGGAATCTAAAGCTGATTTATATAACCAATCTTGTCGTACTGGCAAGGCATAATAACTTTGACCAAATTCATCACCGATCGTCATAAGATCACAATATATATTATTTATATGATAGACAATCGATTCATTAATCCACAGAGCAGCATCAATATCACCATCTATTAAACGTGAGTAAATTTCGTTTACTGTCTTTAATGGGTAATAGTCTTTTCTACCTTGCGACAAAGTAGTTAAATACTGCTGCTCTACATGGGAACCTGCTAGGATTCCTATTCGATTTGGTGGTATTTTACTATTTTTTATATCATCTATTCCTGATATAATTGGATCAAAGCTTTGTATCAACAAATAATTCAATAAACTAGCTGTATATACTGCGAATAATATTGTTTGTAAAATATGTAAACCAAGTGTCAGAAATCGTCCAGAAGCCGTTGAAGCAGTAAAAGAATGATCTTTATCGAGTATAGTATGAATTATAAAATTAATAGTATGTATTATTGTTACAAATTTTCTTTTTTCTTTTGGCTCAAAATACCATATTAATGCACCAGTACAAGGAATTGTAGCAAGTATAAATAACCAGACCTCCAAAGAAAATGGCTTTAAAAAAAAGAGAGGATCTAATTGGACAGAGTTTGGTTTTCTTATAATAATTCTAATAGAATGAGGAATAATAGGTGTACCAAAATCAACCATAGTCTTTCGTTTTGCATTTATAACTATAGTACTCATAACTGTATCAAATAAATTTCTTGATACTCCCTCAACTAATTCATTGTATTGTGTACTTGGTTTAGCTAACATGATTATAGGAGAAAAACCCATTTTATCTTGTAAATATAAGAGTATATCTTTATAAAAACCATCAAATTCTGTTATACTTATGTTTTTATAATTGTCTTTCATGTTATAGTACGCAGCAGTTGCATTTTTCAATATTATAAACGGTGGTGATTCAATAATAGCCATCCGTAATTCTTGACCTAAAAACAAAAGTACAGAAAGAAGTTCAGAAAGAGATGATTTTATTTTTGTAATAATCGAAGATTACAACTCAAATCCGATAAATAAATAAGAGTAGAAATGTATCTTAGAAAAAAAAAACTAATTTCTTCCAAAATTTACAACTTATTACAGACATATATTATATTACCTTGAATTAATTTGTAACCTGATGGCCTATTTCTTAATCGACCTGGCCATAAAATACTATCAGATTTATTATTATTATATGTCCATTCAGGTGCATCAGCATGCCATTTTAATACAGGTAAATAACCAATATAATTTGGTTCTTCATTTAAAGGTTGTAAATTGTTAATCATATAGAATGTGTTGTCAACACGATCTGTTGTTCCGTTAGAAAATTTCACCTCACCAGACACACCTAAAAATGTCATTGTTCTCATTATATTATAATACTGTTTCGAATTCAAAAATTGATGATTATAACAATTTGAAACATTCTTAAATTCTAAACATGATAAAGGCATTGAACATAACTGCTGCAATGCCAATATTAATGACCATGTTGCATCAAATGCAAATAATGCATAACTATTCACATTTGTCTCACCAGGAAAGGTTTCCGATTCATAATGTTTCCATATTTCGTATGCTTCCTTTAACAGAGTTATATTTCTTGGTACTTCAACAGAATCTGCTTTTACAGGTTCAACAGTAAGTATTCCAATAAGTTCTTGCTTTTGTCTTAGATCGAAATCGTCCAATGCTATTGTTGTACTTAGCAGCCAAATAAAAGATGGACCAATTAAATTTTCTTTGATTGCCATATTCAATATTGTTTTTGTTGATGTTGCAGTGGCCCATACAATAACAATACGTGAGAAGTCATTAAGTAATGTATTTTTAAAATCAATTTCAAAATTTTGTTGATGAATATCAAATTTAATTTTCTCTGAAATTTTAATATTCCATTCACTAAATTTGTGACTCAATGATTTCATACCACTATAACCATAATCATCATTTTGATATATAATTATACACGATTTCCATGTGTATTGTTGAAATAATACTGCTATACCTATTACAATGTTTTCATCGGATGGATTTATACGATAGAATGCTCCATTGTCAATAGTTGATAAACCAGGACTTGTAGCTGAATACGAGATACTTAATATTCCTAATCGAAATGCAAATGATGCTAGAATTCGCACTTCATTTGAATATGCTGGACCAACAAATCCAACAATGTTTGACGTTGATACTTTTTGACATGCATGATCAAGTGCAACTATAGCATCATCTTCTGTTATGATTTCTTCATAATCAAGATATTGTCCTTGAAACGTTATATGGTATTGCTGAGACAATATAACAGCTGATTTAAACATAGAACGACAATGACTACTCCACATGCTAGTGTTTGATTGTTTATCAGCTTGTGAAGGAAAGAAGCCAATCAACTTGACCATGGATGAACGTACTGGCCAATGTAGTTCTACTGCTTTTTCCATATGTAATATACATAATATAAAAAACAACAGAAGTTTTAAAAATGCTAAGCTTCTCATTCCTCACTTTACAAACACTAAAGTCATTTGTTATCTAAAAAGAAAAGCAACTCATATTTTATTTTAACTGGAATCACAACGGTTCTTATTTTTCTCTAGTTTTCAGTCTAGACTAGTCTATTAACGTGACATTTGTGTGAAACATGTAAGGTAAACTATTAGGTGAATACTAATTACAATTTGAAGACGCAACATATCCTGCCGTAAACTCAACAACTAGGTTATACCTTGTAGTTCGTTGTCTTCAACATGCAAATGATATGTGTTTACTAGGTTACATAACAGAAGTTCTCCTCATGTTTGCAATATGGAATACAACACTGGCATCATGACTAGCGTTTGAAAAAAATGCGCAGTACAACAGATGATCGTCTAACCTATTCCTACCAAACTGTTGCACTACCTACAAGGCAAAGAATATTTCCTTCCAGTGACCCTTAGCGAATTAAGAGTTACATCTCACGCTGACTCCTAGGACACAATGGTATCTCCTAATGATATTTCTTAAGATTCTAAAGGCAATCCCTTATAGTAGCCTTTGCCCTATGGTTTGCTATGAACTATAAATCATGAACTGTAGTGTTCGAAACAAAATATATATGTCTACATGAATCTAAAATTACGAGTTTATGTTTTTTTGACCGACACTAACCAAACTACATCTCAGAGCCAATAAAATCAAAAAGAATCTTGAAACTCGTTTGAGTGAATTAATTCAAGAAAGGAGACAACGAATAATATGGTGAATATGGATTTGAACGATGATTTTGTTGACGAACAAACATTTCAAATTGCATTTCGGACTTAGTTTTTGTTTTATGCTGTTTTCTATCTAAAAATGAAAATAAAGTGTCTTGATTTTCTTAAAATGAGAAATGGAAGACGCTGAAGTTTGCATTTTTTTTTTGTTGGATATTATTTCTTTGTGATCATTTCAAATGAGTGAAACCTGACTTTCTAGACTTTAATAGTATTTAGGTTGGTTAGAACCTGATGAATTGTTTTTTCAAAATGAACCAAGCAGACAATTTCAAGTTTTCATGTAACTATTTCTCTTGTAAATTATATTTGTAAAATCCGTCACACCTAAAATATATAGTAGTCAATGAAAAAACAAGATGTTTTTTTTTTTCATCAAATTTAAGATTTTTCTTCAAGTCATTCTTTAAGATACTTATTCAAAAGGTTCACTATTTCACTGTTCAGATAGACTTGAATTCTTTTTTATTTCTACTAAAATCATAGTTTTTATTCGACTACAAAGTTACAGTTGTTTTCCTCATTTAAAAACAACATACTTTTTTAATATTGAAGCATCGAAATTTCCTATAATTCTTTTGCAATGTTGTCTCTTTCATTGTCTATACCGTATGAGCATCTTGTTTATACTCGTATATGATTTATGAATCAGTAAGTCATTCTATCTACATGAGTTATGGGTATTCTGTGTTCAATATCTTTTAATGTCAATCAGTACTAAATCCAACACTACAAATCACAGCTCTTTTCATTAATTTAAAGTCAGACAAATCATCTATACTTGTTACTTTAATACTGATTTGGAAAAAAAATACTCACTCAATCACATAGCAATCTACTGTTTGCGATTTGTAATCATCGAAAAATGTACAATAATGTTACATATGAATATTAGTATTATCTATCACTTATCTTTTCTAATGAATTAACATACACAACATGAATATGGAACTAATGATACCTTTCTGCCGTACTTCAAAGCAGAACCAATTACAGTCTTTTATAAAAAAAAAAACGTCAAACATTTCATTTATATAGAAAATCAGATTTTTATTCAAATCACTAATTTACATATTAAGCTCTCCGATACATGCAATACAAAACTGATAATATTTTGTTCAATCGACTAATGTTCCTTACTACTTGCATCAGTATCATAAGATCTATTCATTAATCTATCAAGAAATCATCGCAAAAAAATGCCTATGAAAATAAACTCGTAAATACATTAGTGTCAATAAACTTCATTATCTTAGTTTTGTCTTAATGATTCGAACTCATTTCCTTTCATTGATGATATATAAGCATTCGACATTTTAATTTGTGAGAAAAAGACACAAACTAGCATACCTGTATAACCTAGCCTTTCTGACTTCAATGAAAATGTAATTTACTAATAAAAACAACTAAAAATAAGTGATGCTAATACGTTTTTTCATTGTTCACATTGAAGGAGATTCATGATATATGAAAACTTGTTTCACTTTAAGTTCTATAACGCAATAAGGAAATACTCCAATATCTTTGTCAACTTTCCGGATGCAAAATAGTCACTGAGTTTCGTAATCACCGGCGGCCATAGTTGTATTGTCTTTCAATACACAATTCGTATCGATAAGAGCTGGTAAATATGATAATCTTATTTCAATTCCACTATGTATTTGTCAATTGTATACACCTCATAAGTTATGTCAGCCATACTTAATTACGTAGCACTGCATGTTCACAATTTTCTCATGAATGAAAATATTATATGCGAGTCTATCCTCAATATGTGTGAACAGTTCGATTTATCAAACGTAAAAAAAACACAGAAAAAACTCATTCTTTAATATATCTTCCTTTTGAAGGTTTTTTTTTTCATTTATTGATGTACTTACTAATTCAAACAAGGTTTAAACAATATGAATTGAATGATTCAGATCAGACGATATAAATTATTAATTTTTAAAAACTATTCATTGATTATTCCTAATATATGTTAAATGATAGAAGATGAAATATTAAAACTAAAGCAGAAGGAAGTGATCAGTGTTATCAAACTCTTAGAGAATATTAACTAATCGTGGCAGGAACTGGATTGAATTATTCCATTAATTATAGAAAAAAACATGCAAGCTCTAGTATGAAAATCATCTTAAATACAAAATATTTTCGCTTCTACTTACTTCTATAACTAGTCAAAGCGGAGTTTTGTGCATGCATAAAAAATTATTTAGAGCTATTTGGTTTATCCCCTTAGATATTAATAATTATGCAGTTCGATTGAATTAACAAAATGGCTTAAAAATTACGAATAATGGACAACCACGATTCTGTCTATTCATGCGTTATCATGACTCTAGCATCATAAATATTCGTTTTTTTTTTGAGTATTTTTCTTCAGCAAAATATATTATTATACCTATTTCACCAATATTGCATCTGTTTCGTAATGCCTTGATATTAGGCAAATTTAAAATTCCAATGAAGATAAATGAAGTTTGTGAATCAATTTGAAATTAAATAATGAAAACAGACGGACGTGGGTGTAGATGAAGAGAACATCCACATCCATCCACCATCTGAAAAGAATCTCGCACGTTCATACACTCTACTTTTTGTGTTTAAAATATTTATTATTTAGTTGAGCGTTAATCGTCTTGAATGACCATCTCTATCTCATTATAAATGCCCGAAACAAATTGACATTCGCTTTTTTAATCAGAACTATTATTATCTCTATTAAATTTGATTAAGATTGTTAGTGATTTATATTATTTTTCGCAATAAGTAATAATCATATTTAAGTGATAGAAAAAAAATGTTATAACCATTAGAGTCAAGGGAAGAAATCAGTGACTTTTTGTATCAATCCAATAATTATCAGCAAGTGTAGCTGCTTTCTCATCGTAACCATAGTCAGCTAGAAGAAGTCGAATGATATTGTGTGCTGCTAAACATTGAGTTTCCATTGTACTAATAAAGCTTTCAAATGCATTAGCACAATAGAAACCTTTATCTGGATTGATTGGAGGAAAGTTTGCATCGTTTTTTGGTGGTGCTCGAGGATAAGCATGCCACATTTTTCTGTACACCCAACTAATATTAGCCTTTTCATCAAAGATTTTCGCGAGTTTCGCATCATTTAAATACGTAGGGCTGGATAATTTGACAAGGTGTTCCTTAGTGGGATAGAGTAATTTAGACATGCTCATGACCTCCACATCAAGTTTCAGATTTTTAGTAGTATTTTGACGTTCAAGATGTCGAGTAACAAAAAAAGAAATAGGGGTAGCCATTTTCATATAAGAAGAGCCTAAATGAGTGGCATTCGTTGTAAATAAAGTAATATGCTGTTGAACATAGTCGACTTTGGTAATTTCATCTCGGATATCTACAAATGATACGCTTTAGAATATCTAATAAATAGTTTATTGAAGATTCTTACTGATCAGAGTGATGTTTGATTGATGTGGAGGCGTGGCAAGAATGACAATATCGTATTTATTGGAAGACTCTGCTGTTGTTACAGTCCACTTCCCATCTTCCATGTTTTTGATGATTTTTGTCACTGTCTGATTCATTTTTAGTTTTGCTGAACTGGCTTTGATCATGTTCTCTGGCGAAAAAAAAGTAGAAATTGTCTACTAACAGTCAATTTTGTTGTGAAAAATGAAATAATTAACAGTGAAAAATAGAATTAAAAAGAGGTTTTGAAGGATAACGATAGAGAGCTTCGAATCCGAGTTCGACTTTTTTCTCATCAATCTTCAATATAAATCGTAAGATTAACTATTAGTTGATTGAATTTTATGCTAACAGTAATAATGTGAGTATGAACTTCATTTTCATTCAAATATACATGCGTTACTATTACTTAATACCTAATATTAATTTATGATCACTACTGAGTCTTTGAAAGCTCAAACATTTCGAAAAATATCTTCAAAAATTAATCCTGGTAAAAAATACTTAAACTATTGATGTATTCTTACCGAAAATCTGATAATTGCCTCCATTAACAGACTGGCCTCTACCAGCTAAGGCTATCAAAGTCATGATTGCATGAAGTTGTGTTACTTGTTGTCCATAAATTCCTAATGTAAAACTGTCGACTAATTCATTCACCGTCATATTATCCATCCCATTATTTCTGAGAAATCTGAAGCCTGATTCATTGAGTCGTGGGTTTAAGTCTATTGCTTCGACATACGCTTCAACCGTTCGAAATGGCCCTTTCATTAATTGAAAACTTCGTTCGTAAAGACGAAGAAAACGTTGGACAGCAGCTTCAGTTAACATTTTCATTTTCAAAAGAGATAATGAATTATATCTATGTGTTGAAATATCGTTCGTAAATTTCATTTTTCAATATTTTAAAATATATACCTAGTAGCTAAATTATCCATGTCAACAAGCATCGCTTTTCCGTCGTATAGATAAGCGGCATGATTGTCATCGATTGTATAATATTGTGGGCTCAAATGAAACTGTTCAATGGCTTGTATCAAATGTAGATTAGCAGAAGCGTATATTGAGGCTCCGATTTCAACTGGATCGTATTTTGGATCATTGTATGGATGAATGATTGCTGTTCGGCCTCCGATTCTGGACTCTTTTTCGTATATTGTTATTTCTACTTTCTCTCTGCTAGCTAAACTAAGAAGTTGTCTGTCGAGGAAGAAAGCTGCCGAAGAACCAGCTGCACCAGCACCAATGATCGCTATATGTTGCACTATTGGTCGCCGAGCTAGGCAACGTAAGATTAGAGGTGTGAGAGTTCAGCTCAGCTCGTAAGTGCGTGAGAAGATTGACAGCTCTTACTTCTAGAAACTGATTCACTAGCTTAGTTCTCGATAGCAGGAGCTGTCAATTAGCTCGTGCACTCACAAACTGAGCTGGAATATCATATCCAAGAATTACTGGGACTCATTTTTTATTCGTCTGTTTTTCTACATATTAGTGGTCGAACTAGATTTTGAAAGAAGCAAACATGGTATTGTTCAAGTGACATGAAAGACGATCCCTCCTAATTTCCTCATTGGTGCGGAAGACACTATATTTTATCCTTAAAATAGTGCAGAATGTCCTTCTTCAAATCTGATTGCTCGAAAAGAAAAAACATCTAGCCAATCAGATTTGCAGAGGATTTTCTCTACTACTGTAAGGATAAGACATGGTGCTGTTTCGGCTGATCTAGGAGTTAGGATGGGTCCTCTTGTATATGATCCAAACAATCATATGCCTTGGTCTGACAATAATGAAGATTTTTCCAGCAAGCCTTTTCTCCGTTATTGCCTGACTAAAACATGTAGTTGTTCAAGCCATATACAGGAAAACCCATTCTAACCCCTAGATCGACCCGAACGATACCATGTATGGTCATTACAGTAGTGGAATAAATCCAAGGAGAAACAGCTGATGTTGAACAGAAAAATCATCTGGAATCAGCTGTTTTCCTTCTTGGTCACATCCCTACTCAAGCTAAAAAGCAGCCAATTTAATTCAATTCAATTCATTAAATCATCAAAAAATTCTGCAATTCAATTTGATTCAATTTGTCATATATGTAATACTTGAAACTTGAATTCAAATGTTCAAGTATTCACTATCTTGCAAGCAAGGGCGAAATAATTATCAAGATACGTTACCAAGAATACTTCATAAGTTAAAGTGAATACTTGAAGCTGCCTTCAGTTAGTGAATTCAAGTTTCAATTATTACACTACTGTTATCTCGTCATTAAAACTCTTGTCAACAATATATTTTCTTTTTGACAAAAAAAGAATGAGAAAGAAATGGCACAAATAATGGAAAAAATTACGCAGATTAATCGTTATTTTCTGAAAATACTATGGTTGCTCATATTTCACTAACGAAAATAACAGATAAATTAATTTTAATCAAATTGTTATCTTACTTGTATATTTTGACTTGCTTCTATGTCTCAATATGAATCCAACAAATAAAATGACAATCAACAAAATGATAGTTACGACAATACTGATGATCCATTTTCTTTTGTTCATTTGTCGAGAACGTGTAATGTTTGATTCCATTGGAGATTTTTCGGATGTAATGACTTATTATTTTTTTTTCAGAGCAAATGAAGAAAACATATGCATCTGTCAGCAGTATGGGCGTATCTAAAAAAAATAACGATACACTATATATTTTTCCTTCTCTTGACATTTTCTTTGCATTAACCTACATAATTCATGTTATATTATTTTCTTCCTTTATTATGACAACTACCCAGGTCAAAGAAAACGGTGTCGTAAACGACCGTAAACGGTATAAAACGGCGAAAAACAGCGCTGTTACGGGCCGTAATCCGTCAGCCCGT